TTAAATGAAAACACACAGCCATTTAGAATGTCAACAGTACAGAATTCGTAAGAGTGAACTCCCTGAAACTGGGAGAAGAGAAACCTTGACTAGTAAGACTTACTCAGGTTTGGTTTTGGGCCAGACAGGGATTGCTCCCTGCCGTCTCACCACAGTGCATATTACTATGTACGGATCACAGAGTTTGTATTTCGAACAAGGACTCTGGCCTCCATGGATTGGAAAGTATCTGGATAATATCAAAGTGCTGACTAATATCACAATAATGAATTCAGAGCACAAAAGCCAAACCGGATCATTTGGCAAGAAAATTAAAAGATCAATAATATCTACATTTCCAAGGCTTTGGGAAATAAGCCCTCTCATATCCTATTGGTGAATCTCTCTGGTGAGGAGTCAGAGGGATAGAGCTGAGGGTAGAGCATTGGAGCAGTTGCCTGACAAGCAGCTGAGACCAGGTTGGATCCTGGCATTCGTATGGTCCCTTGAGCACTGCCAAGAGTGATTCCTGGCTGCAGAGCCAGGAGTTACCCCTGAACATCATCAGTGCAACCCAAAAACAAAAAGAATAAAAGAAAAACTGTCTATTGATGCCAATGTTTTGGAAGACAATTTGAAATGGTCCATCAAATTTATAAATCTATATATTATGACCACACTCCCACAACGAGAGCTAAAGCCTACAAGAATGAGAGGAGACATGTATCAGGATACATAATAAAGAATGTGTATCTTTGTAAAGTATGCTATATTGTTTCCATTTTAAATGTAAATAAAATAGGTCCATTTAGAAAAAGGGTGAGCTCTAAACATTTTGTGTATTTTAATTTGATATTTACATGTGGGGGCTGGGGAAACCTTATCAAACCCAGGGCCTCACATGAGACATCCATGTTCTACCATGAACTATAGTCATGGCCCAAGAATGGATATATACTTATAATGAGTACATATGTGTACATACATGTTTATATTTATATGGAGTTAATGTACATACATACATATATCCCTTTGGATAACAGTTATTTAAAAACGTAAGTTTAAATGGAGAGAAATAATATAAAGGGTAGGGTGCTTGCTTTGCACATGCCGACTTGGGTTTGATCCCCAGCACCTTATATTGTCCCTGAGCACAGAGTGAGCCCTGAGCATTGCAAGTGTGGCCTCATTAGCATGGGAAAGAATGTGTGCCCTGGGACCAGCATTAAATTTTTTTAACCCAGGAATAAATTTTTTAAAAACATTTTTAAAAAATTAAGAATGAGTTCACATGAGTGTGAACATAATTCTTTTCTTAAAAATTAATTTTTAATTGACTCACAGTGAGATAGTCCATTACAAAGTTATTTACATAATGCCCCCAAATAGAAAGAGAGTATGGGGGAAATTGGCTGCCACAGAGGCAGGGGGAGGGATGGCATGGGGGGGGGGGGGCGGGCATAGTGGACATATTGGTGGTGGAAAATGTGCACTGGAGGAGGGATGAGTGTTCAATCATTGTATGACTGAAACTCAAACATGAAAACTTTGTAACTGTATCTCACGGTGATTCAATAAAAAAAGAAAGTTGTTCATGATTGGGTTTCAGGTATGACTATACTTCTGTTTTTAAAAGCATATGTATAAATATACTCGCACAAGATCTAGAAATACATTTACTGATTTATCAATCATGATTGCTTTTAGGAAGTAAAACTAAATTAGTGGAAGTGTATTTCAGCTTTTTGTATACTCACATATTTTTAAAAATTTAGTTATAACAAGATGATTATTCCAAAAATATTTTAGAATGATAATTTTTTTTTAGCTTGGTAGGTTTTTTGGAGAGGGTTGCTGGGGGCCCGGCCATTCCTGCTGAGCTCTAGAGGCCCTGAAGTACCAGGAATGAGTCCAGACCCTGGTACAGCAAAATCTCACCCAGGCCTTTAAGCCAATACCCTCAGATCCCAGAAAATGATATTTAAAGAATTATTTTCTCTGGCGCATTTCCTGAACAGGCTTAATTAGTTATTGGGTCTTTTGGGTTTTTTTTTTTTTTGCGTTACACCCAACGATGCACAGGGATTACTCCTAGCTCTGCATACAGGAATTATTCTTGGCGGTGCTCCGGGGATCATATGGGATGCTGGGAATCGAACCCAGGTCAGTCGTGTGTAAGGCAAACACCCTACCCACCATGCTAGCACTCCAGCACCTAATTATTATTTTTGATGTATTCATTTGACATAATACTATTCATTAAACAACTGTTTACTATAATTGATTAGGTTTGGACTTTTTTAGAGAACATTTAATCCAGTTGGACTAGTTGAGATTAAGTCTAGATAGCCCCTGGGTGCCCAGAAGATGCTTAGTTTCAACTGAGAATCAGATCATTGGAGCCGCTCTGATAGTCTTTTAGTCCTTGCCTTTTACTACAGACTTTTATTATGTAATGTGATGAAGGTAAAGCACAGATTTCAGTAATAAAAATTGCTGATATACCAAAGTCACCCTAGTATAGTGCTTAATCAGAATTTCTGAAATGTAAAGAGTGAGGTATACATTTTTTTGTTAAATTTCATCTTGAAGATTTTATAACCTACCATCTTTTAACATAATTACAGTCCATTACTACAACTTTGGATTTCTTTTCTATTGTATTAGATATTTTTCTAAATTTTATAATTATCTAAAAATTTAATCATGGTAAAAGTAAAAGGAAAAGTAAAGGCCCTCCCGTTGATCATCGATTTGCTCGAGCGGGCCCAGTAACGTCTCCATTGGAGACTTTGTTGTTACTGTGTCTGGCATATCGAATACTCTCCGTAGCTTGCCGGGCTCTCCGAGAGGGGCAGAGGAATCGAACTCGGGTCGGCCATGTTGGCTGCGTGAAAGGCAAACGCCCTACCCGCTGTGCTATCGCTGGTGGAGGTTATAAAAACATTTCATCAACAGACTTATTTGCTGAAAATATCCAAAACCTCTCAAACTTATGCAAAAAGGAAATTGAACAAATGAAGACTAAGCAATCTTATTGAGTCTGTTATTAGGCTTAAGAGAAACAGGTGGAAAATGGAAAGTAAGCTATCGGGGCAATGCTTTCACTCTCCTTTATGTCTGTATTTTGGGGACACAGTCTCCAGTTGTACTCTGGGGCACTGGGGATCACTTCTGGCAGACACTTCCTCCAATCCTTGGGCCACGGAGCATCCCTGATTGTTGGTTCAGTGCTTGGGCTTGGGCTTGGGGAATGGTGCTGCTTGGGCCTAGCGGTGTCAGAAGAATCCCAATAACCTCCATGGTGCTTGGAGGCCACCTGGGCTATATTTGAAGTTCTCAGGGGCCATCCAGTGCCATCCAGTGCCAGAGATTGAGTTGGGGAATTCACATTTTCAGGACAGGCATTCCAGCCCTTCCAACTATCTCTCCAGTCCCAATCTGCATCTTTAATGGTATCCTTCTCAACTCTCTACACCCACCCCTCACTCTCCGAACCTCATCCCCACTCCATCATTCCTCCCACTGTCCCTTGCCTGTATGTACACCTGGCTAAAACTCCACCAAGTGTAGGAAACTTGTTCCTTCCCCCCAGTTGAACCCCTAGACTAGATTTGCCTTCAACCTAAGTCTAATTGAAGACCAGTTCCTTTTGCCACATTTTATTGCATGATTATTGTAGATCTCATGCCAAATTTCCTTTTGGAAAAAAGTGGCATGTAACCAATATGTAAAATGTTTTCAACATTATTTAGCGTTTTTTAAATCATGCTTGCATTACTTTAAACCAATGCAACAATTGTGTGGTGAGATATGGCATTTCCACTAGTTTCTCCAGCTTCATCCCCATTAGTCCCCTAAAAGTGATGCTTTCCCTCTGATCAGAGACCTAGCAAGTCACAATTTCTATTTCCAGGAGGCAGAAGTTTAAATTAGGTGTCCGCTCTGGTCCAATCAAGTGTGATCAAATGGACAGATTCAGAGGGTCAATCAAATGTGATCAAATGGATAAATTTAAACATATGGCTTCCTAGGACCATCTTCCATAGCTGGGTACAATTTCCAAGGACATAGTTTATATCAACAACTGCCTATTGAGTTAAATGCTCTAAACTTGTCTACTATAGAAATATCAATGAAAGCCAAGTCCAAAATTAAGATATTATAGTTTGGGTCACCAGTTTCAAAGTAGGAAGGTTTTTGAAGGTAGATATTTAGTTGTTAAGTACATTGACTGTGAAGTCAAATTAGAAAATTAATATCCAAAATTAATTTTGCCCAGAACTAAACATTTCACTCTTGGGTAAGTAACTCGCTCAATTTGTGCTGCAGTTTCCTCAGCACTAAGTTGTAGTTGGATAGTTGTGTCATTAAATCAGATTATATGCCAGGTTACCTAGCTCTTTACAAGCATTTAATAAATGGTAATAGCATTATTAATATTATTATATCATCATGAATCTGTAATAATTATTTTCAATTTAAAAAATAATCTAATAATAGATGAAAGGTAGTAGATTTGGCATAATATCTAATGTATGTTTCAACTATATTGTATTTGTATGTGTGTGTGATATGTGTTATATATAAATATAAAAGATAAAATACAGACTATATGTTATATGTGAGAAATTTATCAGGGTATTTAAGATAATAAAAATGCGTCCTTTCCACAATTGGGTTCCTTGAGCACTGGACATCACTACTTGACCCACAGCCTGAAGGATGGTACAGAAAGATGCCAACCTCCCAGCTTCCTCTTAGAAATGTCATCCCTGTCAGTCTACAGGCATGAGGCAAAAGAAACAATTTTTTTGTTTAAAATAGAAACTTTGAAGGAAGCCAAATTAACACATGACAAATTTCTGCATAAACTGTTTATGGGGTATGGGGTGGGGGGAACAGCCCCTTCATTTCTAAAATGAAAAGAGGAATTCCGGATACCCAATCCACATTTTCTTTTCAGTGACATTCTTCAGCCAAGCTTGGCGCTAAACCGAGTAGGCGATTTCACTTCATCATCACTTCACAAAAGATTTCCAAATTCATTGCGGCAGACACGGCAAAATAAAAATGTTAAATACATCCTGACTGGGAGGGGACTGAAGCCTCCACACTCAATCAAAGGTTTGCAATAATAGGATTCATAAAAAAAAAAAAAAAGACAGATGGGATTAGAAAATGTTGCAGTGAAGACTCTGGAATGAGATGAGATCACAGCACCAGCCTGTCTTTTGTGGACCTGCACAATGATTCTCGAGCCAGACTGGATTAGGAAACCTTGCGACTAGGGATTCAGAGAGAGGCCTCCGGTTCCCAGGCACTTGGGAGGAGAGAAGGTCGAAAGAATGCATCAGATTTACAGCTGCAGTGATGAAAATATAGAAGTTTTCACCACAGTGATTCCTTCCAAAGGTGAGTAAAATTGCCCTGGTGCTTCCTTTCCCCGTCTTTTGGGCAGGAAGGTAGGTTAAGAACATCACATGCTGTTTTGCTCTGTTTTGCCCCCAGGTCCCTATGTGTGGACAGGTTCTGTCTTGATGGTATTTTGTTGTTGTTGTTTCTGAAAAGGAGGCACGTGGATAATTGGCAATCATTGAGAAACACATTGAGGGGAGTGGGGGGGGTAGTTAAATCACTCCAGTTCACCTCATTCAGTGGGCGATCTTGTAATAAGCAAACAAGTGACAACGAGCCACTGTCTTAAGAGACAGACAAAAATTCCTAAGTGGCTTGACAAATTCTTGCATCTTCTCCAGCAAGCAAGTAGGTTCTGAAAAGAGAACCAGCTGGCCCAAAAGTGTGATTTCTAACTGTACCACAAAATGTAAGGAGAAATACTGGAAGGGGTCTAAAGTCCAGTGAAATGGTCAAAGAATGTCCTGACCTGGGTTGTTCCCTCTGCAGACCCCAGGATCATGCTCCTAAGCATAACCTCGAACGAGCACACCCATCCCCCTTCCAGGGGAGACTTTATGAGCTTTGGAGGGACATGGCGCAAATCCCGGGAAGGGCTTTGTGTGAGAGCTCAGCTGATTCCTGGTGTCTGGTCACTGGACAGTCCCCCTTGCCTCTCCTGCAGCTTAGCCCTCTCTCCTCTCCCGGGAGAGCCAGGAACTCAGGCTTTGCTCCTGACTCATTGTCAGGCTTGAATGCAATGGGCTGAATGTTTTCTGGTGTAGTGACTCCCTGTTCAAACAACGTCTTTCTTCTCCTTATGGTGTCAGGGCCACTGCCTGCCGAGGGGCAAAGGTGATGGGAGGGGGTGGGGACAGCAAAGAGATACTCAGCCAGACACAAAGAAAATAAATTAAGCTTAAGACAGCTATTGCCTCATAGAGAAGGGAAAAAGAGCTAGGAATCTGCTTACACAGAGTTGGGATTTTCTGTAGGGACTCAGAACCATACCTGGGATGACTCTCTGACCCAGCAGTTTTACTTCGAAGTCATTTCCCTGACACATGAATGCTTACAGGATATTGATTTTACAAGGGCAAAATTGAAAATAATCAAAGCATTCATGAAGAGGGGAGGGTATAAACTGTGGTACCGTCAACATGTTGTGGAATACTCCACACCAGTCAAACAGGAATGGAATTGATCTAATGCAGTTATTATATCTATTCTATCAGAGGAGGCAAAAACAGAAAGAAGAATAAAAATAAGTAGACTGAAAAATAATGCATTTATGCTAGCATTTATTGCATTTGGAAATATAAGCTAATACTATATTGTTTATGGATAAATAGCAAAAGAAAAGTATGCGCACTTCAACCAAAATTTTTACAGATAAAATTAGTCATCTGAGTAATCCTGGGAGGGAGGGAACTGTCTCAAAGAGGGTAGACAGTGCTAGAGAGAGTTCAAAGGACTGAAAATACAATTTGTATGCAGGAGGCCTGGGTTTGGACCCTGAGCACAGAGCAGGGAGTAGTTCCTGAGCACCAATGAAAAGCCCCCCAATATATTTTATATTTCTTTTTAATTTATTTCTCTAAATTTGTTTTCTAAAAGAAGAAACCAAATAAGCAAATGTGGAAGTTGTTAAAATGTACCTATTTTTTTCCATTGAAAATGTTAAATATTTCAATGTTAGACAGGAAGAAAATTACCAAAGTCAAATGACCCTTTAAATTAAAAGCAGTATGCAAGGCAGGGGGAAGGCTATGCTGCACCTGAATAAAATCATTCAAAATAAGACCTTTGACTCATATGTTTAGCATAATGAGTAAGATACTACCTCTACTTCTGCTGTTACCTAGCCTGTTTCTACTTCTGTTTCCACATCTGTAAAAGAGAAAACTAGAACTTACCTCTCAGCTTTTTGAAGAGCCTGTGCACACAATATCTAGAACCTGACTATTAAGCATCACTAAATACATCACAAAATCATTCATATTTTTTATTCCACCTTTAAAATATTGAGGATATCCAATGATCCTATATATTCCTTTCTTGCCATTTTCACTCCTGGCTTCTTCTTGGTATTAAAGTTTTCTTCTGTGACCATAGACATCTCACTGCTCAGAGAGTTATTCTCTGTCATATTTGCAGTTTCACATCACCCCATACATACATGAAGTCCACCTCTTCTTACTTTGTGTTTTCCCTTATTGGGCCTTCTCCAAAGTTCAACAAGCAGCAGGCTCAGTACTTGCTCCTATGAGTTACATTTTATAGGATTGATAATTCTTGATCAGCCCTGCCCCAGATGCATCAGCTGAGCCATGTTTATTCACCCTGCAATGACCCAAGCATTGTCTAAGCACAGTTCAGCAGGTACATGTGATTAAGGGTGCATAGGCTTTCTCCATGACCTGTGGGTCTTTATTAACTCCCATATCTAAAGTGGAATTATTTTGATCTCTGTTAACTTCCATCTCTGAAGTGGAATTAGTGAAGAGTACCTACTTCGTAGAGTTGCTATTTGGAGTGAAAAACAACACAAATAAACCATCGTTTGGTAAAGCTCCATAGTATTATATTACTGTTTTATTATATCTCTCTTTCAAATACACATAAATAGACATATATTGCGTTCAGCCTCAAAAATTAGTTTTTTCAGATGAACCACTTAATGTCTCACAAAAAATATGGCAACAGAAAATGTAATGGTGTTTTTTATTGCTTAAAGGCACAAGACTGTAACTAAGGGCAAGTGCATAATTTTACTCCCTAAAGTGTAAAAAATCCCTTTAAGGTAAATATTTCACAGACCCAATTCATAGTAACTACAAAGATAACAGCTGTGGTTTTACCAAGAAGTTGTCCCAGAAGTTATTTCCTGAAGCACACGAGGGTGCAGAGAGGGTTTAAACCTAGGGTGAAGAGCACCACAGCATGCAAAATAATTACCTGGGGATAAGCAATAATGGAAGGGGGGTGCAGGCTGGGGGTTGGTTAAGAAAGCAGAGAAAACTCGAGACCCTAATGGAATTGGTCTCATTCAGTCCACCCTGTATCTACAAATAATCGCTTATTCCTTCCACCTGCTCTCACCTTGTAGCCAGAAGGAAGTTGAATAACTTTCACTAACCTCTGGGAACATAGTCTTCCAGGTAGGGGCCAGGCCTTTATTTGGAGTGGATCACGGAATCCTACCACAGGACTAATCCAGTTTTAGGTGTCATTGTTCACCTCATCTTACAGACAGGAAAGCAAGGCTTAGAGAGAATGTGTAACTTGCCTAAGTCATGTAAAAGTAAGTGCTCAAGTTCAAATTCATACCCTAGTGGAAGGAGCTGAGTGTCCTGGCTATTCACTGTCCTGGATTCTTTGGGAACAAAAGAAAAATATAACAACAATATAACACCAGAACATTTGTTTGATATGTGACAGGAAATCATTTCAGTTCTCAGCAGAGCAGTGAACATGTGATTTCAGTTCCAAGTACATCATTCTAGCAGCAATGTGAGGAGAACTAAAGAGATGCCTGGGCATCTACTGAGATGCCGGCTATCAACAAAAGACCCACCTATTCCCAAGCAAGTAACACTTCTTTATGGGTAATTTATTTTTTTGTTTGCTTTTTGTTTGGGGGCTACACCCAGCGATGCTGAGGCATTACTCCTGGCTCTGCACTCAGGAACCACTCCTAGCAGTGCTCGAGGAACCATATGGGTGGTATGCCAGAGATTGAACCCAGGTCAGCTGCATACAAGGCAACCATCTTACCAACGTAATATTCCTCCAGTCCCTGGGTAATTGGTTTCTTTAAGGTCACTGTGTATTGTGCAGTAAAATTAATCTAAAAGTTATTATTTAACCATTTTAAATGTACAGTTCTATAGCATTAAATATATCCATATTTTGTGCAACCACACCATTTCCAGAACTTTTCTTATCATTCCAAACAGAAACTCTGTACCCATTAACAACTCCCAGTTCCCTCTTCCTCCAATCCCTAATAACCTGTATTCTACTTCCTATTTTTATGTACTTCTGCCCTAGGTACCTCAAGATCCATTCATGTCGTACTGTATGTCAGAATTCCATTTCTTTCTATGACTGAAGAATATACCATTGTATGCATGTAATGTATTTTGTTTATCATATTTATTTGATGGACTAAGGTGATTCCTATTTTTGAAACAAAGAATAATGCTAAGAATATAGTGCACTTCTATTGTAACTTTGTTATTTAAATGGTTTTTAAAAATAACTGTGGTTAGATAAGATAAATTTGCAGCTATACCCTGCCTCCTCCTCCCATACTCCCATCTTCTATTCTCCTATCACTCCAAGCAGGAATTCTTGCACTATTATTTCTATAACTCCATCAATCTTACAGGCAATCTCTAAAACCATTTCTTTATCTCTTTTTGCAGTGTCCAGTCCAGCCAGAAGGAGAGTCAAAAGCTCTCAGCACCTTTTGACCAAGAATGTAAGAAACTTGTTTTGATCCTTTTAATTGACTTTTTAAAAAAATAAAACAAAACTGGGGCTGGAGCAATAATACAGCGGGTAGGGCGTTTGCCTTGCACTTGGCCAACCTGGGTTCAGATTCCTAGCATCCCATATGGTCCCCTGAGCACAGTCAGGGGTAATTCCTGAGCGCAGAGCCAGGAGTAACCCCTGTGCATTGCCGGGTGTGACCCAAAAAGCAAAATAATAATAATAATAATAATAATAATAATATAAAAATAAATAAAAAATAAAACAAAACAATATCCAGTTACAATATACTCTCTCCTCTGCTCTTACTAACAAGAAGAGTTATTGCATTCCATCTTATTATTGCTGCCTTTTGTGTTCTCCACTTAATCAAAATAATTGATCAATATTAACCAAATACAAAACAGTCCCAAATTGCCTCCCCATCTCCATTTATCCCAAGCACAGAAAGTTTTATTATCAAATATAAACTTTATTCAAATAGAGATCATGATATGGTAATAACACCTCTGACCTAGGTGTTTTCCTATTTTGAGTTCATTTGCAATAGACTGTTTTTTCAGTATAACAAATAAAAGTGTAATGAATTTATTTGTACAAAATACTATTGCTTCTTTTTGGATGAATTCATGGTATACAGATCTCAAAGTAGCATCAACGAGTAAAAAGAAAGGAGTGGTTCCATTCATCCATCCATCTATCTATCTATTCATTCATATGTTCATCAAATAAAGAGACACTGTCCTAGATGTAGCAATATACAATTTCTAAAAGCAGGTTTCTGCTTACAGTCTTGTCACAGATTGCCAACAATTCTGAATAATTGTCAGTCTCCCAGCAGTGCTTTTCATTTACCTCCAACCTCTTTGTCATTGGTTTTCATATCAAATTTATTTTTCAACTATTTTTGCTACTATAATTAATTGGGTGGAGAACTGCCATAGTCTGCAGTGTTCAGGAACTTTGGGGATGCTCCCTGCAGTGTCCAGAGGACCTTGAGTGCTGGGAATAAAACCTAGACCTTCCTGCATGCAAAACATTCTTTCACTACTTTAATAGTATTACTTTTAAAATTATATTTAATGATGCTGTGAATTACTTATTTTACATGCAGATTATATATTTATGTGCAGATATATACTTATATACAGATTCACAATATGAAGACTGTCAATACATCTTTGTATTTTAATTTGGGGGGCATATCAGGTATAATATTAATGGTCTCCTAAAGTGCTCCAAGGCCTGGGGGTCATCCAGGCCAGGTGGATCGTGCTAGTGCTGAGTGAGTGTCACTGCTCAGGTCCAGCAACAGTAGGGGATCATCAGGCCACTCCAGTGTTGCTTGGGGACTTCCAGGCATCAAACTCCTGATGATGATAGCAACATCATCATTATTATATAATATTAAAGATCACATCGTAATTACATAATTCTTATATAATAATATCATTATTTTAGACAATGGAAAGGAAGTCATTAGTCTTTATAGTATCAGAGTTCTAGGGAAGAAATTTCTTAGGGGATTTAGAACCTAAACAAAGGAAACAATTCTCAGTGGTGGAGGTGAGACTTCTGGGGATTGGATATACAAAGCTGACAATCTTGGAGCACAGACCAACCTTCTGTGTGCTCTAGAATTCCCTGGGAATGGTCATGATTAAGAAAGACTGCTATCTTTATGTTTTATGTAATCTCTTAAATACATTTGCTCAAAGAGGAAAAATTGAGTATGAATTTTGAAAACACATGAAAATTCCTTACTTCTTTCCTCCCTCCCTCCCTCCCTTCCTCCCTCTCTTTCTTCCTTCCATCCTCTGTCCTTTCCCTCTCTGCCCGCCTTCCCTTCCTTTCTCCACCCACTGCAGTTATTGTTGGTTTGTTTGGGGCTCACAGCTGGTTCCTGTACTGGTATGGGGCTCAGAGGTCACTTCCAACAGTGCTGGGTGGATCATACAGCGCTCTGACTGGGGCTCGGGTCTCCCTCATGCAGAGCACAGATTCTCTCTTTTAAACGACCGGGCAGAAGGAGGACAGCACGTCCTCTCCTCCAGCACGTCCTCTCCTCCTTCTGCTGGAGTAGTCAGAGGGCATCCCCGCCTGAACAAGGGCACCAATCGCCACAATGCAGCATTTCAAATAGCCGCATCTGTTTGTCAAAGCATGTCAACCCACGGGGCAGCTGATCGTCCCGGGGTTGTGGCCTAATGACCCTGGCTGTTAACTGGGCAGGAACCACAGCTGGGGACACCCAGAACCCACATTTTCTTGGCTCCTGGCACATGGGACATTCTGAAGCTCAATAACACCGTTTGATTTTCTGGCTGATGTTCTACCAAGTTTTCTCACTGTGCCTGGCATTCACGGGAGGAAGGCAGGTGCCAAGACTTGCCTGCCTGCCAGCACTCGACCCAGCTGCTGAGCTGCGGGGTTGTGGCTGGGCCCTGGGCCCTGGGTGCACATAGGCGGAGGAACTAGCCCAGCCACCATCCTTCTCCCGCAGGTGGTGATAGAATCCGAGCTCTGCGCCCCACGGACCCTGGAGTTGCTGCCGCACCGCAGAGACCGCAGCGACGGCGAGGGCCGCGGGTCTGGCCGGCTGAAGAGTGCCCCACGGCAGGGACCACACCAGGGGAAAATCCCGGCCAGACCCGGTAGGTGCTTGGGCCCGAGTCCCTGAGACAGCCCAAGGGTGCGGGGCGGCCGGGAGCGGCTGTCTGGGAGGGGGCTGTGGCCCTGCATTACCCGGGTGAGCGGAGCCCCTACGGGTGAGGCCCACAAGGTCCCCAACACGTGCTGCTCCCGCTATGAATGCCCCAAATAGGCCCTTCGGGGTACGGGAACCAGCAACGGGGTCTTCATCTACCCTCTTGCCCCGTCAGGACGCCCTTGTGGGCTTGAGAGGTGATGAAAAAGATGAAGCTCTGGGAGAGAAAAACAGGAGGATGCGATGGGTGAAACCAAAGCACCGCACAGTTTATTTCACAGGCTGCACCAGTGTGCTCCTCAGACACGATCATCTTAAACCTTCACATCATTCTAAATGTGAACGACAGGCTACTTCAACAACACTCTATATGACTGGGGGACAAATTTGTTTTGAGGGACCAGAGAGCTGGTACAGTGAATACGGCGTTTGCCTTGTACACGGCTGACCCGGGCTTGATCCCCAACCCCGGCAACCTATATGGTCCCCCAAACACTGCAAGGAGTAATTCCTGAGTGCAGAATCAGGAGTAACCCCTGAGCATTGCTGGGTGTGGTCCCCAAAGCAAATAAATAAAAACAAAACACTGTCCTCCCGTTATTCCTCGATTTGCTTGAGCAGGCCCAGTAACGTCTCCATTTTTTTGAGACTTGTTACTGTGCTTGGCATATTGAATACCTCACCGGTAGCTTGCCAGGCTCTGCCTTGCAGGCGAGATACTCAGTAGTTTGCCGGGCTCTCCGAGAGGGGCAGAGGAATCTAACCCTGCTTGCTTGGGGCTGGCTGCGCGCAAGGCAAAGGCCTTACCAAGGTAATAAATAAAATTTTGTTCTGAAAACTACCTCCCTTTGAACTTTAAAAAAAAATGTCTTCTGTGCTCCGTAGCTGAGACTAGCTCACTGAAGGAAGTCTGAGATGGTATTTTGCTTTCAGTGCTGGCTTGGGTTATTTGTTATGTTCACAATACAATTAAAAAAAAAAAAAAAAGAACACAATGAAATGTCTGGGGTGTTGTCCAAGATTTTGGATTTTGACAACTCTATATGTTACAAGAACTGATAAAATACTCCACTGAGAGTGTCCCTCATCCTTCCATCTTCTCTGATTTTTTCTCCCTCTTGAGTATCTAGATAGAATGGCTAAGCTTTCTTTGCTCATAAACATTCTAACCCTGTTTTTGAGATCCAGTGTATAAGAACACATAAAATCAAGCCACTTTCTCTGGTTAAGCAGTTTCATATACATATGCATGTAAAGTGAAATCATTAGGAAAACCACAATCTGCCTTGCAAATTCAGAGATGTTTCTTTCTTTCTATATATAGATGAAAGGGTGGGCACATGTGAGTGTAGAAAACGAAAATCTATCTCTTCTACAAAACCAAAGTGAATTTAGAGCCATGTTTCTCAAAATTTAATGTGCAAAAAACACCCCCAAAATTACCTACGCCCCTTGCTTTATATGCAGATTCAAATTCAGTAGGACTGAGGAGGATACCCAACTTTGCCTGTAATAAGTTTTCAAATACTGCTGTTGGTGCTGGTTCCAGATCACATGTTGATGATTTAATGCTTAATTCTCAAACGTGTGCTTTGAGGTCCCTGGAACAGCTAAATCACCAAAGAACTTGCTGGAATATGGATTTTGGATCTTTTGACTTAAAAACTCTTGGTTTGCAATCTGCATTGCAACAAGCCACTTGTGGTGGCAAGATTGCATACTACAGGGAGAACCACTGGTGCAGTGCACTCCTCCCCTGCCAAATCACACACAGAAAAGGAAACTGCAACACAGAAATAGTTCGAACTACCCAAGGTCGCACTGCTCGCCAGCACTAGAATTGGCTAGTAAATCTATAGACCAGTAAATTTACAGACCAGTAAATCTCAAGTCTCCTGATTTCTCAGTTCATGCTGAGAATAGCATTCTAGTTTAAGGGGACACTTTTCCTCCCTTTCTAAGGAGCGTATAGACACTTAAGTGTAGAAGAAGTCAGTTTTTTTATTCTGAAGGAGGAAAATAGTACATCTTGAAATGGAAAGAATCTGCTCGACACGTGACAGCTCATGTGAGAATGTGCAAGTCGGGTTTTTTTTTTTTGAAAAAAAAAGAAGAAGATTGAGTTGGGCATAGATTCAATTCCTTCAGCTCCCCGGTCTGATTCTGAAGTGGGTGGGAGGAAGGGAGGCTTCTCAGTCAGAGCCAGGCTGGGTGATCCCTACAGGAAAGCGTTGGCACGAGCCCTGGGTCTTCTGTCCTCTAGTCAGACGGAAATGTGGCTTCAAGGATCTCCAACCTCAGGGTCTGTTTTTTCTCTGGGCTATAAGGTTCTTATATATGAAGGCTTTGGTGGCCTTTTCAAGTAGGAAAAAAGGGCTACTTTGAGGGATCTTGCCTGAACTCTGAAAGAAGAGGCCTGGCTATGAAATTCTTTCACTTTGAGGCCTTGATCCAGTGAATGTTGAGTGACTTGAAAGGGAGTTCTCTACTTCCTGAACCAGGGAGGATTTCCTGCCTGCTGGAACTCCCACCAACATGTCCCTGGGAACCTCAGGATCGACTTGTTCAAACAAAACTCCTCTTCCTCCCTCAAACCTCTCTTTCTTTCTTAGCTAGGGTCACTATCCCTCTTTCCAAAAATTTACTGGGTTATCTTATCAACAGCCCTAGGCCTTCTCCTCTTCCCCCGACTGAAAATTGAAAAGAAATTCACTCCTAGAGGTGTCTCAACTCTCCTTGGCATATAGAAGAAATGACCTGGTTCAGACTCACTCCATCTATTTTCCACTTTTATTTTTTGAGGGGAAGGTTTCCTGCCTGGGCTACTCCCAGCTCCGTGCACTGGAGTTCTTTCAGAGGTTCTGGGGAGCAGACTAGGGTCAATCACAAACAAGGCAAGTGCCTTCACTCTTGTGTTATCTCTCTGGCCCTTGCTTCTTCTCTAATGTGTAGCAGTCAAACCTGGCCCTCGGCCACCCAGTCCCCCTTCATCCACAAGGCACCTCAAAAGAGACGAATTTTCCTAAAATAGAAATCAGCCTTGGTCATCCTTCTGTCTTAGCATTTTTCCCTCCCTACCCATGTTGCATTTCTTGGTTTTTAGCCAAGGGGCCTTGAGTAGAGAAATTTTAAGAATCCCTGTCCAAGACCCGACTTAGCTTCATCAAAATTATTATGAATCTCCAAGGCCTGAGTTTCCTCCTCTAGAAACTGGTCACTATTGTGTCATCTGCCTGTTGGAGTTGTGGAGGAGTTAAATGAAATCAAATTAATGTGGTTTTGGTTCTGATTTTATTTGCTTTTTTTTTTTTAATGTTGGAGCCACACTGCATGGTGCTCAGGACTTACTCTCAGCTCTTCTCTCAGGGATCACTCTTGGCAAGCTCTGAGAACCATATGGGATGTCAGAGATCAAACTCGGGTTAGTCATGTGCAAGGCAAATTCCCTACCTGCTGTACTATTGCTCCAGCAGTGTGTTTTATACTCGATGTAGTTCCTGACACAGAGTGGATACCTAAAAATAACATTATTATTTAGTCCAGAGCACTGAGCATTATGACTTGATCTTGGGAATCTTGTAACTTTTTATTTTATTGGCATTAAGACGCTGCTTTCTTTGCGGGAAGAACATTTGAGAAAAAGCTATTATTTGTTATTTCTCTATGCCTTAATATAATAGGATGTATAGGTACACGAACCCAAGAAGAGAAATTTATTGAAATTCAATTTCCCTAACATTTTTAAATTTTTTATTTTTGTATTGAATCACCATGAGTTACAGTTATAAAGCTTTCATATTTGAGTTTCAGTCATACAATGATCGAACACCCATCCCTTTACCAGTGTACATCTTCCACCACCAATGTTCCCAGTATACCCCACACCTCTCCTCCTGACTCTATGGCAGACAATCTCCCCCATACTCTCTTCTGTATTGCTTGTTATGAATAGCATATGATGTTGTGTCCCTGTGAGTGTGGATGCATGCTCCTGGAATTCTAAAATTTTAGATTATTAGGGTTTGGAGAAATCTCTGCAGTGAGTGGCTCGTTTCTGAGATTCTTTTGTGTGTCTCTGGTTCATGGCCATTAAGGTGCAGTTTGTGGGCGTGTCCTTGGGGACAGGGGGATGAGAAGGACCGACCCATCCCCTATCCCTTGAGGCCTGGAGTTTGCTGTCACTGAACACGCATACCTGCACTTCTCATTGGGTTCTGGAAGTTGGTGGCCACCAGGATTTTTAGGAGGCAGGTGGAGGGATGCCTGCTCCCATCTGAGGCACCCTGATGAAATCGGCCTGACTTAAAGTTCAGAGGCATCTCTGCAGCGAGCTGCTCAGTTCCAAGATTCTTGTGTGTCCTTCTCAACATTTTATGCCTCAGATCAATACCAAAATACTCAAGAGCTGTAGGCTCTAGGATATAAATTACTCAGAAGTAGGTCAGACATCAGTAATGCAGGTTTTCCCTACCATCTAAATGTAAAACATTGTTATTTGGTATGAGATTCTTGAGGTTATTGTCAGGTTATTTGGCTATTTTGGGTTCTGGAAATGCCATTATCATCAATTATATGGAAAAAGTCAGAGTATTTAAAGACCCCAAATACAATCTACCTAGTCATACCCAATAAGAATATCCTTTTAGATAACTGGGAAACCCCAGAAAAACATAAGTAAAATAATTCTTTGAACACAGATGTCCTGTAGCCTGTCTCTTGGCACTGATCAACTCCAACCCTTTGCAGGCAGGATTCTATAGATACTCGAGGAATATCTGGGAGCAATAGATTAGATGATTGGATCCTGTCAGTAAAGACCCTATCTTCACTAAATTTTTGTGATCTTAGAGGCAGGTGGAGGGATGCCTGCTCCCATCTGAGGCACTCTGATGAAATTGTTATTTAAGAGGGAAGGAGGTGCTGAAGGTATGTTCTCAAAGCAGCTGCCTTATGTAAACAACCTGATGAATGATTTCACTCTGATAACTTTATCAACCTTAGTTCTAGTTCCCCTGAAAGAACAGTGGGGTGCAGGTGCCCCAATTGGAAGCTGCTCCAGAGGTTGATGCCGCTGCCCGATTTTGCTGCTTGCTACAGAAGGCCTCTAGAAATCTCTTGCCTGTGATTGATTATCTAATGAGATAATTGATGCGGGAGCAGGGGAGGCAGAACACTGAGTTACACTGACTAATGTCTCCTCCTCTCAACTCTGCAGTTGGGATTTCTGAACCCAAATCATCGAATCTGTGTGGGAATCGAGCATATGGAAAATCTTTGGTAAGTAAAAAATAAAGTTCGGTTAACTGTAATTCTGTGCTTTAAACTTCTTGTCCTGTCTGTGTCATGGAAAGAGACTATGTGTCCTTGGTCTATGGCCTGAGCATTATTAGAGAAACATTCCTGAGAGTTCTTCAGCTCTAAACCCTGATCAGCTCATCATACACTCCTGGCTGCTGGCTCTTTCTCGCTAGAAATTCAGTTCTTTGGAGAGCAGGCCTAGATATTATTGCCTAGTACCCTTCTCAGACAGAGGAGGAGAGGAATATAGTCAACCCCTGCCAGGTGGAAATAAATGCAGTTCAAGGACAAAGAATGAGATGGTCTCAGGCACCGTGGAAACACCAGACACCTATCATCCTGTGATGGACTGCCTTAGGAGGACATCTGCTCCAGTTATGTTCTCCAGATCAGACCCTGAGGTTTGGGCTGTGAGAGCATGACTTTGGCTGAGGGGGTGACACACTGTAGGACAAAGCAGATCTGCTGCCCGCCAACCTGAACTGGGAAGCTTGTTCATGCTGGCTGGGGAGCTGGATAGTACAAGTCTAATTTAACTCAGCCATCCCCTTAGGAGCAAACATCTGTGTCTTCTTCAGAGCATGAATGGGGGGTACCATCGAGGTTAGCCTGGGATGGGGGTAGTGTTGTTACTGAACATGAGGTCACCTTGGGCATCTGGGCTTCCCCTTTCAGGACGCACAGACAAGGTGCCTAAGAGGTTATCTAGCCTAGAAGTTCTCATGGAACACAGTGAACAGAAATGAGTTCCTCCTGGTCTCTAAGGAAATCTAATCCAGGGATGATGTTTAAAACCCCACGTGGTGGTGGTGGGGGGGGGGGGGAAACGGCTGGAGAAATAGCAGAGGGTGATTGTCTGGCATGCATCTGATCTGGGTTTCATCACCAGCATCTCATGTGATCCCAGGAGTGATCCCTGAGCACCACCAGATATAACCAAAATAAAAATCCCCCAAATAAAATGAAACCACACAAAAGGGAAGGGAAGGTAGAGAACAGGATGTTTTATCAGGAGCATCTTTCAACCAAGTGTTCGGGAGAAACTGAAGATGGCTGAATTGTTACCATGTAGAGAAGTTTCAGGTGTGATGGCGCAAATATCCACCCTCACCTAAGCCCAGAGGAAGACTGAGGCTGAAGGGATGAGGGTAGCTAATCACCTGGGACTGCCCGCTTTAGCTCCTGCACTGGGCTCATGGAGTCTGTGGCAGAATGGAGCCACAGGTGGAGAACTGGAGAGCTGCAGGCCCGAGTGAGTTGGGAAGGAATTGTGTGGTGAGGGGAATGTGCTCACAGAGGTGGGAGGGAGGACGTGATAATAATACATAGAACGAGGAGTTGCATGGCTGACCCATTCCTCTAGGCCTAAGATGGTAGGATTGGGGACTTGGTGGACAGAACAGTAATTCCGAGCCACACAACTGGACCAAGGACAATGGGAGAGAATGGCTTTCCTCCAGAAGTAGGAGGGGTGATGCCTGGATGATGGTTCAATGGACTGGAGCACATGCTGTGCCTTCAGGACACAGATTTAATCTCTGACACCTCATGGTCCCCAGAATACTGGTGGGAGTCCAGTAATAACCCAAAACAGAAGGGAAAATGTTAAAAAGAGGCAGCAGCAATAATTTTGATGGGCTGGAGCACATGTTTTGTATGCAAGGATGGAGGAGATCTAGGTTCCATTGTCAGCACCATGTGGTCCCTCAAGCAGTACCAGAAGCAACAAAAAAGGACTGGGTGTACGGACCCCTCTCCCAAAAGGCTTGGCCTGGCCAACAGGAAGCACTCCCAAGAGGCCACAAGGTGGCACAGTAACTCTACCCACAGTCTCTCCTCGCTGGGGAGAATGGGTGTGGTTCACAAGGCTAGCACTGAAATTTCCCAACAATTTTAGGAATGTGTGACCTTATGACTCCAGTATGACTGAGGTGGAGGCACAGTGTTTTGCCTGTGGACTTAGTCCTGATGAAGCCATCAGTTACTTTCAATTCAATATGCTTCTTGAGCATTTCCACCCTAGAACTGAGGAGGCCCACCAGTGATTCCGGACTCTGTCACATGCCATGTGAACTTTGTGGTTATAAAGAGATTGGACAAGCACCTGGGCCAAGTACAGAACCATAAAAATAGAACTAGTGTCATGCCAAATTGTGTCACCCTAGGTTTTCAGGGTGGAAGGGACGTGAGGCCAGAGAGAGCAACTTGGGCCACTAACCTGAGGGAAGGCTTTCTGGAGAAAGTAATTGGAAAGCAGATCGAGTGAGGCTGAATCCAGGAGAGAAAGAAAGGCCAGGTAAGAGACAGAGCCATGCCTGAGCATTAGGGAAGTTGGGACCAGCCCTGCTGGGGCTGGAACTGTCAGGACAGGTGGGAGGAGAGCAAGTCTGAGATGGACTTTGACGAGCCTTGAAGTGAAGGCTGCAGGATTGGTCTCACTGTCTGCAGAGGGGAAGTCCAGCAATCAAGGGTCCAGATGGAGCTGGGGGGTGCAGTGGGGAGCCGGGGGAGGGAAGACAAGGTGGTCCCAGTGTACAGTGTACCATCTCTGAAGGCTGTAGCAGGAGCAACAGAGAAGATGAAAAGGATGTAAAAAGGATTTCAAAGCTACAATCTACAGGTTTGACAGCAAGGTAGGTGTGAGGAGAACAAAGTTCTCTGGTTAAGATAGGGTCATTCTCCCAAGCTTCTCTACTATAGTGATTCTCAAAGTGAGCAACACAAAGAGCATCTGGAGCTTGTAAGAAATAAAGACTCCCGTGGCTGGAGCGATAGCACAGTGTGTAGGGCGTTTGCCTTGCATGCGGTCGACCCAGGTTCAATTCCCAGCATCCCATATGGTCCCCTGAGCACGGCCAAGAGTAATTCCTGAGTGCAGAGCCAGGAGTAACACCTGTGCATTGCCGGGTGTGACTCAAAAAGCAATAATAATAATAATAATAATTTTAAAAGAAATTTATAAAAAGAAAATAAAAATTCCCAGGCCAATATCAAACAGGGTGTGGAGTACAGAGCATCAGTAAGCCTTCCAGGGAGACTCCTGCCCACGAAAAAGAGAGGACTCTGACCCTGGGTGGATGGTGGTTCACTTTAGCCCATGTTAAGCAGCCCCAGCCAATGGCAGAGCAGGAACATGGCTGCGTCCTCACAGTCCCTTTCCTTTCCTCTTAACACAGATCCCACCTGTGGCCCGGATCTCAGTGAAAGCACCTGCCATCTTGGAGGCAGCAACCTCGGGCTCAGAGAATGGAGCTGTCCTGACAAGAGGGTAAGAGCTGTGCTCCCCTAGTCCTGTGGCCTGCTGGGCTTCCCACTGCTCTTGGGTCACAGAGTACCCACAGGTGGCCTGGTTTACAAACCCCTTAGGATGCTAAAACAAAATTCATACCAACTGCAAATTATCTTTTAATGAGGATGATAATCCTGTTCTCTGTAGCGCCTCATCAACCGTTTTCCTGAAATGTTTTTGGATGGTTTCCGCTTCATTAAAGTCACTCTTAGGATTTGGAGAAGTGTCATTCAGGAGGGGGTCTTGGTTAATTAGAAAAGTATAATCACAGGCCGTATTGAGAACTTCCCACAAGCAAACAAGTGTCAGAATTGTCTCATGAATTAGGTTAAGAGCTTCTAGTCAAAGGTAAAGCAATGCTTACAATACAAAGATTTCAAACCAAACTCAGAATGCCCACTTTATAATCTGCTCTGACCCAGGACCAGATGTTAGAATATCAGAAATGTATAATCCCCCAGCCATTCCTTTCCCTGCCTAGATGTTGCAGTAAGAATATGACAAGCAACAGTTTTCCAGGCAGTTCAACAGCACTTTTATGCCTCCACCACTAGGAAGTAGAAACAAAGTTTAAGATAATGAAAGCTGTGGGATTTTGACACTGACCTGCTTGTGCCTGGCCCTGATAGTCACTTGCTATGACTTCAGGAAAGTTATTTGGTGTTCCATGTCTTATTTAAAAAATAAAGAAGACAATAATACTCCTATTATTGAGGGGTTATTTGAGAGTTGAATGAGATAATCCATGAAACACTTAGCCCAAATTGTTGCTATCATTTTTTTTCAAGAAATTTGCATGCCAATGATTAAAAAATTTTAGAGAGTATGTCTTATGTACATATATGAGGGTTCAAGGGCTAAAATATCAACCTGAGGGGTACTTACCTTGAGGGGTACCGTGGGAGTTCACAGAGGAAATCTTTCCAGGTGTAAGAAAGTAATCTAGAAGGAATTCTACAAACCAAGGCACTCATTGCAAGGGAATCTAATAGGAAGAAAATAAGAAAAAAATTTGGATTGTATTAAACTAGTAACAAATTTTTCTGAGTAGCAGAAACTGTTGCTGAGTGTTGGAGTAAACTGGTAAACTCTTTACTGGTCTCCATAGAGGCCAGGCTTTCTGATCCCTACTGCAGAAGTTCTAAGTGATTCCTTTCCCTCCAAGTTCAGACATTCTCACTTCAATTTGTTCTTAAGCCCTGGCAATTTGAAAAGAAAAAGTAAGGTCATTCTTTCTCAGCCATTTCTAAGGGGTGCTCATTCTAAGGGATATATTTACATTTATACTTATATTTATACACCAGGAAACTAAAGTGGTTAAGTCATTTGCTGGAGGTCATGCAGTAAATGGGAAGCAGAATTCAACTCTGGACTCAAGCTCTTTCCAGAGCTGGTGATTTGCTTTTTCTAGCAAGGATGGTCACATAGAGGTTGCACTTGGAGGAAGTGCAGAAATTGAGAACCCATAAACCAGTGTGTACCTAGGGCTACCTCATTCTTTCCCTCACCCTGGAGGACGTTCTCTCAAGAGAGACCTATCCTAGACAAGTGATGCGTGAACTAAAGAAGAACTTGTTCACTTTTCTTGGGGTAAAATCTAAATTTTTGATTTAGTAAAGTGACTGCTCTGCCCACCCACCCTGACTTTTTTTTAGATCCAGGCAGCTCAAGAAGATTGCTGAAGACTATCCAACACTTCCCCAAGGAGCAGAAGCCTCCCTTCCTCTGACAGGAAGTGTTTCCTGTGGTGTGCCCAGCATCCTCCGGAAAATGTGGACAAGACACAAAAAGAAGTCAGAATATGTGGGAGCTACCAACAGCGCCTTTGAAGCTGACTAAAGGTGACTCTCGCCAAGTTGGCTGAAGTTCCCTGCACAAATGCAGAAAAACTCTCGAGTTGGAACTGAGTCAAATTCACCTCTGCTAGTACCTGTTCGAGACACCATCTTTCTCCCTTTACTAACCCATCATCCTAGCACAGGTGTAGGAAAGGCAAAAGAAAATGGTTCCTTTTTAGAATAACTAAAGCCAATGATCTGAAAATGACCTTGGAAACAAGAAAGCTTATAGCCCTATCTTTAAGCAAAACACACCAAAATCAAGCTTTCTCAACTCATAATTAAAAGCCCTAAGGAAGGAATCAGCCAGTCCTATTCTGTCTTGTGAGTTATTCTAATGTATGTGATTTCTGATATTAGTCCAAGACCTCAATGTTTGAGGCTCTTGTTAACATAAAAGTTCTTATTATCCCAATTATCATACATGTTTTAACTTAATGAGGTACTATTTTTAAGGACAAAAACTATATATTTGCTTCTCAGTTCTAATACTTGAGCATACTATCAGTATCTTTTTGATGATTATTTGGCATGATTGCATGAATTCTCTATTCTTTTATGTGAAGTTTTTCTATATAAAACAAGATTAAAATTAAATATTGAATGCTAGTGTTTTCTGAAGTGGCATAGTCTAAGAATTAAGAATACTTTGCTTTGCACTATGACTTTGAAGATTGGAAGTGATACTTTTTCCATCGTTTTCTCTTGTTTTCAAAAAATTCCTATAGAGAAAGCACAACTATCCCCAATTTATAGATGGGGAAGTCGAGGCCTTAAGATAATATGTGATTAGATCCCAGATAGTGGAAAAAGATAACTCCTCAACTTTTCCACTAAACTCTTTGCCTTGCTTATCAATTTGAGGAAGGTTTTGAATAGTAGGAATATATTTCTGGGGGCAGCCTTTAATGAGAAGAATTTGATGAATTCTTGATAAATCTGGAATAAGTAATTTATATGAAAGTTAGCATTATATATAGTTTGAACCAACAGAAATTGTGGGCTTTATCAGTCAAAAACAATTGATTATTAACTTTATATGGTTTAGCCTATTATCTATCTTGTATTATGATTTTAATCTTTCAATGGGAATATCAATTTATTGTCAATATCAGTAGCTTTTGAATTATCATATAATAAAACTAACATTAAATATTTACTGTGTGCCAGGCATAACATTGAGCATTTAGCATTTATCATCATGATATTTATAGCAATTCTGAATGAAGTGATTTTTTTTTACCCATTGTTAGATACCAGTTTAAAGCAATTAAATGAGGACCAGAGAAATGAATAGCAGATAAAGTGCTTGCCTTGAATGCAGCCCAACATACGTTCTATCCCAGGTACCATATATGGTCCCGAACCTGCCAGGAATAATCCCTGAGTAAGCCTCAGAACAGCCAGGTAGCCCAGACCTGTCCGTCCCCCAAAAAAAAAGAAGCAGCTAAATGATTAGACTGAAGGTGAAGGTACCCAACTACATGTGTGCCCAGTTTCAATGCCTGTTGTTGTATCTATTTCACAAGAACAGTTCAGAACTGTTGAGAAGGATCAGTGATAGTGAATAATTGTTTTCCTGAATGTTAACACAATTGATGAGCAATGGCAGAGGTGTGTGGTTAGCAATGCCTGACCATGGAAGTTAGCATGAGCACATGCCTTCTACATTTGTCATCTTTGACCTCAACTCTAACCACAGAAGACTTACTTTTTAAATGAGAAGCTTAAATTACTCCGATCCTTGGCCCTGAGAGATAGTAGGTAAAGCACTTGCTTTGCATGTGACCGACTGGGTTCAATCCCTGACAACGTATGGTCTCCCAAGTGATCCCTGAACACTACTTGGGGTGGACCCAAAACCAGAACACATATTTTAATTAAAATTAAAAATAAAGTACTCCAGGGCTGGAGCAATAGTACAGCTGGTGGAGCGTTTGCCTTGCACGCAGCAGACTCAGGTTCGATCCCCAGCACCCCACATGATACCCTGAGCACTGCCAGGAATAATTCCTAAGTACAGAGCCAGAAGTAAGCCCTGAGCATCACCTGGGCACACATGTGAGTTGGGTACCTTCACCTTCAGACCCAAAGAGCAAAAATAAGTAATTTTTTTAAAAATTAAAAAATAAAATACTCTAAACCCTTTAACCAGAGATGTGGTAAAATGTGACCTAAGATGAGATTGGAAATTGTTGTTTCTTGGTACAAAGAAGAACTTGGTCACAGGACATCAGCTGTTCCTCATCCTCTACTGCTCTGTGACCATGTGTCGCTTTTCATTCTCAGAGTGACTTGTTATTCTCATGTTGGTGAACCATAAGAAAGGCATGGAGGAACAGGAAACCTAGGCTTCTTGACTTTCACCTTGTTAATCTCTGCCTCTCAGTCATAGTTTTTGACTCAGCATTTGGTTCGCCCACTAGAAGATTATTTAGAGATTTGGGCATCAAGTCCATCTTACCTTGTGTAGGTAACAGCACCTGGAACAAAATAAAGAAGTCAGCTTTTCTTTGCTGGATCTCTCAGTGTATTCTAAGACTTTCTACTTAATTTATTTAATTTACAACTGATGTTCTCTATTTGTATGTGGCAGCCGGAGGTGTGTGTGGGATGGAGCAAATTTATTTTTAATTTACATATTTCATAATGAATTGTTTTTCTTGTATAGAATATTTGAATTGGCTAACCTAAATGAAAATAAAGTGTACTTTGTTTGTGCTGTTAATAAACTATCAAGAGAGTATGCCTCAGGCTCCCTCACTGAATGAGAGAGAATGCGTTTGTTCAAAGGAAACAAATTCAACTTCTGGACTTGACGCAAATGAAAAGGATGGTGAGAAAGACCTAAGTACCGTCCTTTCTATCCCAGGCCAACATCTGGCTTTGATGTTACCGGCCCTGCCCAGTGACCAACTTCAGGGCCTTTCAGTAAGTAAGGAGCATGGCCTGGCACAACCATTTTTTTTCAGGGCTCACCACCACCCTATGAATGCAGACCCCCTGTTCCCACCATAAAACCCAGGAGGCCCAGTGGCCATCCCCCTCTTGCTAGCTTCTCGCCCCTACGGCTTGGAAAGATGCGGCCTTTCTCCTCTGTGTCCTCCTCAGGTTCAGACCGCTGCAGTTGCACCATGACTCACATCACAGCCACTCGCAGGATGATGCCAAGGCCAACTACAGGGGCCTTCCGGGAATGACGAAGCCAGGAGTCTTCTCATGCCAGAGGCAACAGGCTTTCCAGAACATTTAGGGTAATAAAAATCACCTCTGTTAGGACCGAGCGCTGTCAAATATTTCGGTTCTTCCTAGTGTGCTCACAGTGGGCCCCCACCCAGCTCTCAAGTTGCCTTGAGAGCGGGCAGATGGGCAGTGGGCAGGGAAAGCAGCACCAGCCAGAGCCCAATTTTAAAAAGAATTATGTGGCACGTTGTCTCTGATTCGAACTTGGCAGAGAATGAGAGACGAGCAAAGAAAAACATCAAGATGACTCTCTGAAATTAGAATTAGTCTTTCATCTGTTATGAGAACAGCAGCCTCTGCTGAGAGGTTGGTGCGAATGCAGTCCGGGGAGGGAGGCCTCATTATGCAGACCAGGTCACATGCCTGGGAAAAAAATTAATGAGGGGTCATTTGGACCTGGGACAAGGCATCCACATATTCATTGCCATGCTTGGGGGAAGGCCAGTGCCGGCCAGAGAATGCACCTGGGTGTGGCGCTTACAGTGGCGGGCATAGGTCCTGAGCCAGGCTCATTCCCAGCCTCTCTGGGAGTGAGGGAGGAGCAAGGTGGGGAGGCTCTGAGCACTGCTTGTTACTGACCCTTCCCGCACCCCTGAACTCTGGAGGTCCTGTAAGCCTTGAGCCTTCTGAACCACAGGTTGCCCTTCCGTCCCCGCAGGGCAAGCTGCCAGGCCTCAGCCGTTAGTTTTTCTTTTTAGGGCCATTTCAGTAACTAAGAGTCATGGCCTGGCACAGCCAGTTCCTTCAGGGCTCACCACTGCCCCATAAATGCAGATCCGCAGTCCCCCAAAGCCTGTGCCTTTCTAGGAAGATCCCCTATTCTCCATTCAAATAGGGCGAGGTAGCTGTGGGGACTCTGAGCAAGCCCACAATTTTGATTTTCTTCACAGAAGAACAAACTGAGTTTCCTCCTCTTTGACCGCCTGAGTCCAAGCATTTTCAGGCAGAGCCCAACCCAGTCCTCTTAACCATGTGCCTTTGCAACTTCCTGGAGTTCAGGATTCTACTGAACCCAGCATTTGAGTGTGTTTGTGTGTTTGGGGGTGGGGGGAGGGATTGAGAAGGGGGTTCTTGGAGAGGCATCAGAGTTAATTAATAACTTCTGATGAACTCTTTGGAAAAGTCGGTTATTCAGCCAGCGCTCCAAGTGTGCTCACATTTTCTGACAAGGTTCAGCTTTGGGACAAGAGGCAAAGCAAACAATAGAAATACTTTGTCTCACTCAGGGCTACTTCCGGACACAGCGGAACTGTGGGGCGGGCAATTGGCTTGTTCACAGTTTCTATGTCCCTCACCCTCCTCATCAGTATGCATACACACCCCTTTTTTTTTCCCCCATTTCCCCATACCCTACTCCAATCTCTATTGGAGCCTCAGCTATCATAGGGGTCCCTCTGTGCTCACAGGACTCCCCCCTTCTATACCAAGAAGGGAGTCCCCTTTGGGGTTCCTCCAGTGTCCCCTAAGCTTCAACTTTCCTATCAACTAGGAAACACTGGCTGAGTACTTCAGAAACTGATGAACCTCAGTAAGACTCAATTTATTCAGTAAATGGAAAAAAAAAGCCATCATTTTCTTTAGTACTATAACAAAGACTAAAGAAGAGAGTGGAGAGATGGTCCAGGAGCTAAGGTGTTTGCCTTACATGCACTGACCCCTGGACAGTCCCCAGCACCTCCAGGGGTCACTCCTGGGCAGAGTCATGAACAGACCTGAGCACCACCAGGTGTGGCCAACAAGCAAACAAAATTAAATAAAATAATTGGTGTCAAAATGCAACTCAAGGGCAGGGAGTAGCTCAGAGGACTGGGTGAATTCTTTATATGCAAGAAGCCCAGCACTGCATCATCCCCAAAACACCCCCAGGTACAGCACCCAGCACTGAGCTGAGCAGGGTATAACCAGAGAACAAAACCACAGCAATAAACTGAAGAAAAAGGAAATGACCATGACAGGGTCTGAAGAGTCCTGTATGCCAGGGTCACACACTGTGGATAGCTGCTGGGGTCAGGGTTGGGGCTGAAATGACCCCCAGACTCATAGCAGGAAGCCAGGTTCTAAGACTCTACCACACACCTGTGCTTCGTTGCATGTGGTGTGTTTGCCTCCTGGTGCCTGCTACTTAGGTTTCTCTGTGCCTCCACTGGCCCTTATTCATGAAGCAAAAATTGAATTACCTGTCAGGTCCACTTCACAGCCTGATGAAATATCAGAAGTGAGTTGGTGCAGAAAAGGGCTTTATACATGGTGAATTGCTCTTCAACCATATGGTGTTGTGATCCCTTACTCCACTCTGCAAGAAGCAGAGAGGGGAGAGAAGCGACTCAGGAAGCTCTAGGCAGCAGTGAAGGCTCAGAGCTAATCAGGGAACCAAAATAGAATCATTTTTCAGTCTCAGGCCAGCTGGCAAGCAAGGGGTCTGATTTGGCAGGGCCCCAGGCTAACTGCTCCCCCCCCCAACCAGCTCTGCCCCAGGGGCCGATGGGGCTGGACAGCCGAGATGGCCACCTGCCTTACTGGTGGCTGTCCTTGGCTCACAGGCCGGAAGGAGGGACCAGTCAGCGCCCCTGTGACTTCACTCTGAATTCAAAGGACTCTCCCTCGCCAGGAGCTGCCTGCTCACTGCCAAATGCCGCCCCTGGCTTCATGCCTATATTCCCTACCAGCAAAATTAGCCTCCAATAAGACCTACAAAGCAAGTTGGCCAAGAGACCACAGGCCCTCCTCACTGGTTCTGGCTCAGGAGGGAAGCTGGCCTCTGCCTGTCCCGCCTTAATGGGATATCCCCACCTCTCCCTTCCCCATAGGCGCGGTTCTCTGCCCTGGTACCCACGGCACTAAAGACTGAAAGAACTACTTAGAGATCAGATCCGGAGGCTCTGGTAACTAGGCAGAGATTTGATGTTTTACAAACATTGCTCCAGGCATTTCCTTGGCTCAAGCCAAGGAAAGCAAGGTAATAATTCAAAGAATGGTGACCTCATCTGGAAAGCAGGCTCCCCAGTCCCTCACACAAAACCCACATCCTTGACCAACCCAGGACACACGGTTGGTCATGAGGAATCCCAGAGAGAGCAGGTGGCTGGGCTAGTAGCAGGCTGGGAGCAGGTCGAGGTCTTTCCCAGCTGGCTGGAGAAGTCACTAACCTCAGGGAGAGGGGGAGGGAAGGAGGGCATTTTCAGCCTGGAGTCCTACCCTCCTACCTCATCAAGAAATCAGAATAAAGCCAATGTCATTTGTCCTCTCGGCCTGCGAGTTTTCAAGTTCCTATTAGTATGATGCCTGAGAGCTGGCTACTGCCAGGATGCTGGTCCTGTTGCATTTCCTCCATGGGCGCCTTTGTTCTCCTTTAGAAAGTGCTGATGAAGAGGCGAGACCAGGGAAGGAAGTCAGAAGCAGAGAGGGGAAAGGATGCCTGGCTGTTCTGACTACTTCATTCCTACTCAGGTGTTTCAGCCTCTGAAAACATGGAAACATCCCCAGGTGCCCAGGGCAGTGACCCAGAAGTTACTTGAACACCTTTCTTCCTGGATCCTCCAGCCAGGGCTCAGTAGAATACTGGTGGTCTAGGAACAAACGTGTGTGTGTTTGTGTGTGTGTGTGTTGGAGGGTGCTAGGTATGCATCAAACCCAGGGCCTCACACATGTAAGACAAATACTCTGCCACTGAGCTACATCAGGGTTTACTCAGAGCCAGGCACTATGGTAGGTGCGAAAAGTGCCTTCGCACATGCCAGCCTGTGAGCACTGTTGTGAGATAGTCCTTTCAAAGATCAGAATTCATTAGCTCACACCACCTGAAGTCACACAGCTTTTGGTGGCAGGCCTGGAGATATGTCCAGCCACTCAGACTCAGCACTACTGCACGTACAAGTGCAGTTTGTATATTGTCTGAGGCCCCTTAGTTGCAGCAGGTACCAGGTACCCTGTCTTTGTCCACATGAAGAGACTGTCATCTCACCTTGAGGGGGCAGCTCCTGTTTACAGTGAAAATTACTCAGATATAGTCTAAGCTCTTCCTAGAAGAGCTTTGTATTATGTAATTGGTTATATATATAGACTTATTTATGTGTGTGCATATATGTATATTCATTCTTTCCTTCCCTTTCATTTAACATATGTGTATGAGAAACAAGAACATGCCCCAAATGGAATAACTTGTCACCAAACCAGCACTTAATACCTAACCTAATTGCAGTTTTAACATTTTTCAGAGTTATATATAATCTTTAACCAGGAAACCTGAAATGTGCTGCTCAGTACTAGGAAGATAATCTGCCTAAAAGAATTCTTCCATTTCATGTAGAAATATAACCAAAAGCAATCTAACCGGAAACAACTCCCTCTTTCATTTTCTCATCTCTTGTCTATAAAGCCTTCCACTGTGTACAGCTCCTTGAAACTTCTTTCCATGTGCTAGTTGGGACACTGCCTATTTTGTGAATTATCTAATAAATTAGATCTCCAATCTTCTCTACTGAACTTTCTGTTTATCTTTG